GGCTTCGCGCGCACTGCATTACACCTACTTCTAGGACCAAGAGGGCTAAGGATTCGCCAAGGCCTATATAAAGCCTTGTGCCAAGGCGAGTGTCTTACCTCAGGAAGATACCTACCCAGATTAACTGCACCGCGGTCATTGCAGGGCTAAGGGCGGTCGTTCGCCCCACCTCGGCGAGGTGGAGGTCATGCTGCCCGGCTAGGTGGTTTCAGCCGATATGCAGGCCCCGTTTGCCGGGCCTGATCAAGACGAAGGAACGCCACACAGCAAACAATATAAGCTCCGGCCCCGCTACACTGGTCCGGCTCGTAACAATACCTGCGCTAGCTTCGTCGACCGTCGTTCGACTGCGCCCAGTACCGCTCAGTGGAGAGTCCTGCCGAACTCGTCCACGTGTGCCGAGATCATTCGTTGCGCACGGACACAATCGTCTGACGGAGACAGCTTTACATGATGATCGCGTGGTGACCACCTTTTCGCCGGCTTCCACGCCCAGTCGAGCCGTCTGGCTACGCCCCAACCAAATGATCGTTCTAAGCCTTTCGACTGGTTTGCAAAACTCGGGTCTAATATCGAAGTATTTGGGAGTTAGGACACGTTAAATCCGTGTTCATGAACAAATATACATACATTATGCAACTAAAAACGCCTTACTTACTTTAACTTTTCTGGGCTGATGACAAGGTAAACACCTTGTAATATTTCTAAAATGTAAATAAATCATGAGCGATGAGCGTAAAAAAGGTGAAAAAAGCGATGAACTAGAAGCTAGCGTGGAAATCCACTGACGTAGGTCGCCTCGTACTGGCGCAGCTCGTTCAGCGGCACCGGCGTCTCCCGCACCCGGCCGTCCACCTTGCCCGCCTGCGCCATCAGCCGCTAGAAATGGCTGCGCTGCCGCTCAAACATTAGCGTGACCGCCTGGCCGGCCCGGCTAACGCGCGCCGTCCGACGCACGCAGTGTGCCTTCAACAGCGCCGGGATGTCGTACGACACGACCGCGTCCACGGCGTCCACGTCAATACCGCGCGCCATAGTCTCGAGCACACCAGCATCTCAGCTGGCGCGCGCCGCCGCTGGCCCGCCGGCACTGCCCCAGGGAACTCGGCCTCGCGCGCGCCCAGCACCGACAGCGGTAGCTCCAGCTGGTGCGCCGCTTCGTTCCAGTTGACCAACACGAGCGAGCGCCGCCAGTCGGGCTGTCGGAGCAAATTGTGCATCAGCAGCGGCTTCAGCGGCTGCTGCGCCACCACGTTGAACGACTCGCTCAGCTCGGCCGGCGTGGTGAACCTGCCGACGAACTGACCGGGCAGTGCGACGGCGGCCGGCCGTGCCGGCCACCAGCAGTCGCGGCTGGAACAGCGACATTCGCTCCAGCTTCTCCGGCCTCCGGGTTCTGTGACAGGGTGGCCAAGAACGGCAGCTTCTGCAGCGGCAGGTGAGGCGCGCAGACGGCGGCGGCCGTCAGCCGGCCGGCGATGCAGGGCGGCGGGCCGTGGCTGCCGCCACCCGCTCCACCGCTTTCAGCCAGCCCGTCTCGGCCATCTCGATCACCCGGTCGGCTTCGTCGATCACCAGGTAGCGCAGGTGCGCTAGCGAGAAGCCCTCGGCGCTGGTTATGTGATCCATCAGCCAGCCAGGAGTGCTCACCACGATCAGCCAGGGAGACCGGGCCGCGCGGCCCCACCGCCACCAGTTGGTGCTCCCCCCTCGTGCCACTGCGTCTCCACCCAGCAGCCGGACGCAGAGCGGCGTGTCGGCGTCGTACTGGCGGAACACGGCGGGCACCTGAGCGGGCAGCGCCTGTGTGGGTAGCACAGCTAGCGCGCGCACCCGGCGGCCGGCGCCGCGCCTGCACCAGCGGCAGCACAAACGCCAGCGTCGTACCGCGGCCGGCCGGCGCCGAGACGCAGAGGTCGGCCGGTGGCAGCGGCGGCTCTGCGGCCGCCAGCAACTCGGGCAGCACCGTCACCTGCACCAGGAACACCTGTTCGATGCCCTCGGCGGCCAGCCGGGCGCGCAGCTCGGGGCAGAGCGCCGGCAGATTGGCCGGCGCCGGCCGCCGGTCGCCAATCGGCTGCGAGTGCGCCAGCCAGTCGGGCAGCGCACGCGGTGCACGGCCTGTCGGCTCGAGCGCTCCACCTCGTCCAGCACGGTGAAGTCGTCCGCGGCGGCGTCTCCGTCCGACTCAGAGGTGTCCTCACTGTCGTTATTGGCGACGGCGGCTGCCGCTGTGCGCTCAGTCAGGTCGGCCATCACAGCAACACTCGCCGATGATTGGCGTCATCGAAACCGTCGGACGACGGTGGATTCACCACCGTTTTTGCAGCAGAGACTGGAAAACCCTCAGCAATAAACAAGGAAAAACATCACAACATGCCACAGCCCGCAATTGTGCATATTGTCATTTTATTTCTCACATGACAGAAAATATTGGCTGCCTTATTCTAGGAACTGGCATGAAAAACATAAGCTAAAATCAAGCTAAGTGAATTATTATTGTATTTCAACATGAGACTGAGAAAAATCCTTGTCACTGTCAACATGACCAGCGTAACGGACGGGCTGCATGAACATTTCGGCGCATGATCTGAAAACTCTGTGTGCAGAAATTTCAGCGCTGAGGTGAACAAATAACATTTCGACCGCAATTTGCCTGGTGCCTCCACAATTTAGCAAAACTAACTCACAATACTTACAGCCAGTTTTAACATGATCCCTGCATGACTCATGCATGCAAGATACACATGCATTCAATGTCAGCACAGTGCACACTGCACACACATCAGTTATGGATTCATTTACATTTTACAACATTACTATTATTTTCTTTTCCTTCAATATTGGCAGCATGACTTGCTGAGTTCAGTGGCACAATCTTATGACAGCATTCAGCAAGTTTGTTCGGGTTCGCAACCATGCAAACTTTGCACGTTTTGCTTAAAAACAAGCCTTTATACATTTCTTTCATGCTATTCAATTTCTTTTTTAAATTTATTCTATCTTGAGTTGAATTATCTTGAATTACTATCTTGAATTATTATATCTTGAAAATCTTGCCATTTTGGTCTTAGCAATGTCAATGCACCTTCCCTATGCTGCACAGCTCGAGTAAGTTCCACCCAAAAGTAGTAGTGGTATCAGTAGCTGGCACCTTGCAATGTCAAATGTAGCTGAATATGTGAAAACAGTGACATATTTATTTAAAATCTTGAGTCCAATGAGCCTACCCTCTCTGCCTCTCCTTCCAGCATTTCTTCAAGCACCTTCGATTTTCGAAAATGACCTTTCATCATTATTTTCCACTTCCGTGCGAGCAATGAACTTGTAAGCTGACCACTAGTTAATGCGCTATCATCTTGCTGTTGGGTGCTGGTAGCAAAAAGATAATATAAAACGAAAAACTAGGTAACACCACAATACCAAACACCCGTCTTGTTGGTTCCTTTTGGTCCTGCCTGGTGACAAAGGCTCTTTCTTTACGCAATATCATCAGTATTCCTCTTCTAATCTTGAAGCCCAGATGCTTTACAAATTGGCCATGAATGATACTAAATTATTATATCAACTGAGAAGCGCAAATCACGATAATTAGTAACAAATGAGGCCAATTATTCCCACACGACATCAAAAAAAAAAAAAAAATAGACGGGGTCGCCTGTCTATTTTTTGGGGCTGTTTTTCTACATATAATGGCGCAGATAAACACTCCATTAATGTCGCATTTGCCGTTGGTGAAACTCGTTGGCTATTTTTCTGGCTGATATTTTTTCACGCCGGCGGATATTTTTTCGCCTGGTTGGTGAAACTCGTCGGCGGGTTTATGACAGAAAAATTGCGCCGGGCTGCTATTTTTGTGTTGGTAAAACTGGCCTCAGGTGTATGTACTTATGTCTAGGTGCGCACACCCGGTCGCTCTCGTGACCGGTCACCGAAATGCCCCGCCGCCGCGCCCCACCCGCGAGGTCGCGTGCGCGAGTGATGTCATTGCGCGCGCAGGTCAGCGAGCCGAGCGATACAAGAGTTTTGGGTAAGCCTGCGGCCTCCCCAAAACCGTCATTTATGGTTCATTTTACATGACATGCGATTATGTGAGTCAGGTAACCTTTGGGGCCAGTTTAGGTTAGGTTCTAGTGAAGGTCAGGTCAAATTAGGTCAAATTTCCAAGTTAATATTTTTGCATAAAATGGGTATTGATTCGATGCAGCTCGTCACGGCGAGTCTAATGCTGGTCGTTGTTTTGCGCTACGTAGTCTAGAGTTACTAAAAATTGAGGGAAAATTTGACGTCATCAATTTTGAACAGTTTTTTTCTCGCTATAACATGGCCAAAAAAGAGGTATCGATCTGAACTTTGGTATGTGAATAGAAGCCAGTAAGGGCTATCACATTTATTCCGGGGTTTTCGAAATTGAAAAACTAGAATTTTCCGCTATTATTAAGACTCAGAGAAATACTTTTTTGATTTTTGGGCGTCAAAATCCAAAAGTTTCTAAAATCCGAGATAGTAGTTTTATGCCCTGTTAATTCTACAACTTATAAGTCAAAAACATTTTATGTAGCTCTAAACCTGTAGGTCTGACAGCTCTTCCTGCGAAACCTTTTTTGGGTCGAATATGGCAGAAATGACGTCACTCCGACGTCATTAGCGGCCAACCTATCAAAGCCTTTGGAAAATTTTGGTCCCAATGTGTAAAATTGATGCCCGGAGGGGTCCTGAAAGTTTGGTGACGATAGATGCAGTCGTTTAGGAGATATCGATGGAAAAGGACAGGGGGGGGCGTTTCGCCCCCCCCCCCCCCCTACGGGGCGCGGGTCAAGCTCCGCACACCTTGTCACCCACTTGCCATGCTGGTTATCGGCTGGCAAGGAGTCGAATACGAATATATGCCTGATTTCATTTTTTTTGTCATTTTGTCCTTTATCTTTTGATCCCTCTGAGGATTCGGTCAATTAGAATATGTTGCTAACCAGTGTGGTGTGGTGCTGTATTGGTGCCAGGTTTGGAGCTGTCACTGAAGCTCCCTTCGAGCGAGCCGGAGGCGTACTTTGCGCCTATTTCGCCGGCGCAGAGCAGCAGCCAGCTGAAGGATGACCTGCCGCACCAGCAGACGGCCGACGCCGCCCAACTGGCCGCCAAACTCGGTACGAGACTGTGTCCGTGTCCGTGTCCGTGTCCGTGTCCGTGTCCGTGTCTGTGTCTTCCTACATAGAGCTGGCCGCCACGGCGCCGGCACTAGCCAACGACCAGCAGCTCACTGTTCACAGCTCCCAGCAGCTGTGAACAGCTCCTGGGCCCAATCTTACCAATGCTGTAAATAGGATTTGGCAGCACTGGCCGGAGTTCACGGCACTAATATCAAAGATATCCTTTTTATTTACATCGAGCTAATCTTGTCCAATGATTTTGATAGCGTCAATGATTATGAATGTTACCTATAAACGAATGAGTAAGTAAATGTGGAATACCGTAAAGTGGGGCTATTTGAGACAGTGGGGCTATTTGAGATAGTTTTTAAAATGGCTATAAAATGAAGAGCGTTTGAATTTTATGTGATATATTTGCTCAGGAAGGTGTGGAATCGAGCGGTAAATCGCCTGAGCAAAAATTAAGCATAAATTTCAAACGGTTTTTATTTTATAACAATTCTAAATACTGTCTCAAATAGCCCCACTGTCTCAAATAGCCCCACCTTACGGTAGTTCTGAATGTTACCAAATGCCGTGAATGCGCATTCACGGCATTTGGTAAGATTGGGCCCTGGGAACAGATGCTGTGTAGTGGGGTTGGGAACTCGTTTTTTTAACCTTCGCCCCAGTGGGGGGGGGGGGCATATGTTACCACCCTGTCGCGTTTTTTTCGTATAAATAAAAAACCGCGGCGCGTACCGCCGCGCCGCTTGGGGTAGCTTTTGGTACATCAATTTTGGACAATATGTGAAATTTTTTATCCCAGGTCATGTCAGGTCAGGTCACTAGGTCAAGTTAACTGACCAAGCCTAAAAAAGTTTGCAATCATGTCCAGCCTGCAGTGTTTGTCAGAGAGGTTTCAAACTTGGTGGATTACATGATGTTATGGGTGCCTACAATTTGTATATCTCGGATTTTTTATATGCGTGACCTAAGGTCAGGTCAGTGGCGTGACCTTTCCATTATAAGTCAATGGAGAAAAACGAAAATGCCTCTAGATCCGTGTGTACGCATAGGAACAGTCCAAATATTTCAGGATAACAATGATTTGGACCACCCGTGACGACCAAGGTGTGTTTTTTGCTGATAGCCTCTTGAAAGGTCATCCGAGGTCATTTGAGGCTACAAACAGTTTTTTGCCAATAACTCTCGATTGGAAAGAGATAGAACGCTGGGGTTGGCCTCATTGTGTTTGTCTTGCCGAGACGCATCGACTGATATGTAACATGACCTTTTCCGGTCAGGTCATGACCTTGACCTGAGGTCAAATTTTGAAGTTGACCTTTCAAGGTCAAATTATAGTTCATTCGACGCGTCTTGGCGAGAGGAACACGATTCTGGCATTAGAAATGACCTAGCTTTTTTTAGTCAAAAGTTATTGTCGAAAAACACTTCGTAAAAACAGCTATTTTTGGAGTTTTTGCCCTCTGGAGGCTAAACCGTTGACCTGAGGTCATTTTTGATGATAACCTCATCAAAAGAAGAGTTTTAAAGCTATCGATTGCTTTTCCCAGCGTTTTTCTAGCTATCATAGTTCCTGAGATAATGGCGTGTTTTCTGAAAAATATAATGACAATTCGCAAATTTTGACCTTTGATGACCTCTGGTGACCCCAATATTGCTCTAAGATGAAAAATGACCGAAATACTTTCAAACGTACGCATCAAGAGCTATCGACTGCTTTTTACCGCGTCTTTCTACCCCTCTTAGTTTTTGAGTTAGAGGTGGGTGGTAACATATGCCCCCCCCCCACTAGGGCGAAGTTGGCGGAGACCGCCACTGGGGCGCGGGTTAAGAATGTATAGAGATGATCAAACCATTTTCGCATAATTTATGGTGCATACAATTTCCTCATAAAATCAATATGCTGAGAGAAACGGGGGAAGACAGATAAAAAACATGTTTTTTTAAAGTTCTTGAAAAAGACTCTCTTGATGCTGTTACGTCACATGTCACGTTCTCCGGTTGACAATAACGGCGCATCTGGCGCACCACCGATTACATGTTATTTCTATATGTGAAAGAGGTTGTTTGTTTCATTCTGCCATTCGCGCTGTTTTTAGCTTTAAGTTATGCTGAAGCATTCACGGATGAATGGTTCAGTGTCAAAAATTGATGCATCTGCCGTGTAGGGGAGAGTGGGGTAATTTGGCCGCTTTTTTTAGAAAACGATGTATTTAAAAATCGACAACACATTTCTGCATTTTCTCAACGCTGACAGGTGTGGCATACATTTTACTTTCTTGGACAGTAAACTTGAAATGATAGAGCAACTACTTATATTGAAATTGTGACGTATTACAAAGGTCTGCAAAGCGGTCAATTTGCCCCACTAGCAGGGTTATTTGGCCGGGGGTGTGGGGCAATTTGGCCGGTGTTAGTTTGAGGCCATGATTTTTGTTATAGGCGAGTCAGCTTCACATTCAGCAATGACGCGTGTCCTACGACGCATTTGAAGCATTTTGGAGGTTGACTCAGCCGTCACAGGGGTCGAAAATAGTCAAAATGGCTGCTCTAGATGCGATGACAGTTTTTTTACGAATAGCTTTTGAAGTAATCAAGCTAGGCCAAAACTAAAAGTACCATCGCAACTCTCTCGTTATTCCGCATCGAAACATGTATGTGTTGACCTCGAGAGGTCAAGGTCAAAGGTTGACTTCAGGTCACGTTACCTCAGGTCGCTTGACCTCAAGGTTACGTGAGTTCAAGGTCATCATGTATATCATTCGATGCGCCTTGACGAGCTGAACACAATGATACAATTTGCGCGGTTGTATCTTTTTTCTGTAAGTATTTATTAGCAAAAAAGCGTTAGGTAACCTTTGATGACGTCACATGCCATTACAGCTGTCCAATAGGAAATATGGCATCAATGTAGTCAAAGTTGGTCATGAATTATGTCCTTTATGGTATAATTGACCATGACAACTCGGCCGTCCCAGCATAGTGACTCTGAGCGCACCGACCAAGTTGCCCCGCTAGTCCCGGCCAAATAACCCCACATTGCCATTCTGAAAATTTTTGTCTATAAAGTCGTCATGGCTGTACAGAACTAGATGAAATTGCTCTTGGAACCGCCGAACACCATCAAAAATGGCGCTATAATGTTAGAATTCGTTTACAGCCCAAATACTACATGTTATACAAATTTTTAAACGGAAGTAAAAGTTACCATTTTCTAACGAAATTCACCTTATATTAATTTTGAATAAAACTAAGAGGGGGAAAGTTTTGACATTTGTTCTCGAGTTAGTTCTGCCGACGACAAATGAATAGAGACTAAAGTTATTTCATTCACTTTTATCAGCTTTCGTACAGGTGGGGGCGGCCAATTTACACCACCGGCCAAATTACCCCACTCTCCCCTACTGTTCCCATTTAACTTTGGAGCGCGTGGTAAACATTTTGTGTACTTCGAATTTTCAAATGAAAAACATGATGAATCGGAAGATGCTGAATGGCAAAAGCTCTTTCTTATACGTATTTGGCCTAATTTACAATTAAAATTTAAACATTTCTCTTATTACGGAGCGAGCGAAGCGAGCGTAGTCTTTCCTTAGATTAACGGAAATTTCTGAGTATGAGCGGCCGGCCGGCCGGCCGGCCGTGGTCACGATTCTGCGACGCTAATATGTCAGCAACCACTTGACCGATTTCCACGCGGTAATTTTTGTAGGGTAGCTTCATTCCTTCTACCAAGTATTGGACTATTCCCGATGCATGTGGGTGACCCCTTATGCACCTGCCACGTGCAAAACGAAGAGGTGTCACTTTTGTAATTGTTGCAATATCTCGGTAACTACTTGGCCGATTGCGCTGAAAGTTGGCATGTATGTAGGCACCCACTAGGCAATGCATATCCATGTGCCAGAGTTTGGGTGCTGCTGCACGTGCGCACGTGCAGGGGTCGATTCCAGATCTCGAGAACGGCTGGACCGATGGCGCTCAAATTTGGCACATGGTTAGGGACCGGTTAGTAGGGTGCCGTGCAAAAGTCAGTTGGGACCCATTTTGCACGTGCGAACGTGCAGGGTGCCGCTTCCAGATTTCGAGAACGACTGGGCCGATTCTGCTCAAATTTGGCACATCGCTAGAGACCGGTTAGTAGGGTGCCGTGCACAAGTCAGCTGGAGGTACCCTCTCGAAATTTCGCACGTGCAAGGCTCACCCTCTTGCTCGCTCCGTTAGTCGCCCCAAAAGGCGTTATACTTGTCTTATTGATGATTTCTTTGTTCTTTTTCATAGAAATAATTGAAGGCGTTGAGTGCCGAGGTAATTTCTATCTACCGTGCCCTAACTTACCAGCAACAGCAATTTATCTACGATGGCAAGGGAGACTGTGAAAGAAGCGTAAGATAGATTCTTAACAACTCTTTTGTGATATACTGAAGGGTTAAGTGCAGGAAAAAGCCTATAAGTCCGTTTTGTGCCAGGCTGTTACAGTAGCACTTATGAAACTCCGAAAAAAGATTTTCTTTCATGTCCCGAACAACATTACCCTGCCGAGATGATCGTCTGCAATAGCAAGAAGAGCTGATGCAAGTACCTTGAAATCCACTAGTCGGTGGTAACTGGTATTCTTGTGATGATCACTGTGAGGTGAGATATTTTGTGCAAGGGCTGAGTGTAATGCCCAGGAGATGACCTCCGTTCGCCCCCTGACCGGTCAGGGTTATAAAATTTGAGTGGATGGCGGTCCGTGTGGGGTTCAGATGTCAATTGTATTTTGTTACTGTCAAGCACAGGGGTGTCATTTTTCGAAACTGATTGGTAGGGCCCAAAGGCGGTGGACGACCATATGTGACGGGGCTTACCAAGGTAGGGTACCCCCAAATCTGCCTTTCTCATCGAATTTCGGCCACTTATTTTGTCCACTTTGGTCACTGGTAAAACAACTAACTAAGATCTTTAAAAAATATTATAAATAGACGTCCTGACCGGACCCGATGCACAAA